ATTTCAACTTTTTTCCCTCAGTTTTAGCTTTCTTCACTGCTTGGGATATCTTGATGTGTTTTCGACCACGGAGCATGCTAAAATTTTTGGGTGCATATAATATGCATGCAAAAATTCCAGCTTGCTCTTTGGTCGAGAACACGTCAATTGAAATGAACGTCAAAAGGAACAGAGCTAAAGCTAGTGTGATTCGCTAACAAATCGTATTCATAAGAGCCAATCAGATTGCAAGGATCACCAACGATTTTAAAATGAATGTATTAAAGCATGATAAAAACCCTAACAATTTTAGTAGGAATAAAGTTGCTTAAACTCTCGCTTTGAACGACATCATTTGTAGTTTTTTTTGACCTAGAAAAAATGTGTCTATCTTTTTTTCACAGTCCAAGTGGGTTGCATTAATTACACTGTACTGAGCGAACCCGATCGCCATACGTCTTACAGGAGAGGGTCGAACTCGGACGCATCCCTCGTACCTGGGTGGTACAGATTCCAGTCTGGTTCGTACACTAAAATGCTGGACTACTGTTTCAGACATCACAGATGTCTTACAGACATAACAGGCTTCTTGAACGGGACACATCCATCCCTTGAGGATGGCATTGTTGACAGGGAGGCGTGCTTTCACGGCTATTATAATTGTTGCTACAGACGAGTTCAAATTCAAGTGAGAAGATGTGAGGGGTTTTATGTTTACTACCTAAAGCCGTCACCTGCAGGAAAGTTTCGCTATTGTGCAATTGCGTAGGGTAGACTTATGGCCGCCGAACGACAGCCGCTGAGTAGAGACGCTTTTCTTTAGTTGTCACGTTGGACACCGTTACATTCATAATTTTAGCTACTCTCGTTCCCAGACCTATCACGGCTAGGCGGTTGCAACAACTCAGTTAGGGTTAAATAGTAGAATCTGGGTACGAAATTATGGTTTAGCTATTATATACTATGGTTATTATGATTTAGAAGGCCAGAGCGAGGACAAAACTACTCTTAATAAGGTGGAGGAGAGTCAAGATGGCAAGGAGCATGGAGGCAGTGTGGTCGAGTGGTCAGCGTGTCGGACTTGCAATCCGCCGCTCCCGGGTTCAAGTCCCGCCCTGGCCACTACTTGGATTTGTTTCACGGTAGCCCCGAGTTTCNTGAAAGTATGTTTTCATGGTCCCAAGTACAGAGAGCACGAGCAAAAAGTGGGAAAGATATAAGTAACATGAGAGACACTCTCAAGACATGCAAACTTAGCTTATTTGATCAGTTTTATTTATGCATTACTAAGCTGAGGCTGGGTACTTTTAATGAGAAACTAGCCAGTGAATTTGATATTTCTATTTCAACTGTGAGTAGAGTTTTTATTTCTTGGGTTAACTTTCTCTATTTTGTTTTGGGAACCATTCCTATATGGCCCTCTCGGGCAAAAATTGACAAACATATGCCTAAGTGTTTTAAATTGTTATATCCTAAATGCCGTGGTATTATTGATGCCTCAGAGATAAAGGTACAAGCACCATCTAGTATGGTTTTGAATAGCAATTGCTATTCATCATATAAGAGCCACACAACTTACAAAGGCAATGTTGTAATATCTCCATCTGGGGAAATTATTCATGTAAGTTCTCTTTTTGAAGGAAGTATTTCTGACAAGGAGCTTGTTAAGCAATCAGGTTTGTTGAATTTACTTGAGCCAGGTGATCAAATAATGGCTGATAAAGGATTTACTATAGAGGATCTATTAAAGCCAATAGGTTGTGGAGTAGCAATGCCTGCCTTTTTGTCAAGTAAGGGTCAATTTTCAAAGAAAGAACTTTCAACCAGTAAACAGATACATAATTTAAGAGTCCATGTGGAAAGGGCCATAAGAAGGGTGAAAGAGTTTCACTATTTTGATAAAGTTATACCTCTTACAGTAGCTGGCAGCATTAATCAAATATGGACAGTGGCATGTCTTATTACCAATTTCCAGGGGCCTTTGTTGCATGAAAAGCAATATATCTAAATATGTATACAATTGTTGTAAAATAGATGGAAGAGTAAGCATCATTTAAAGTAAAGTATGTAAGGATCTGTAATACAAATAGTACTAACAACTTTTAACAACTAAGAGTTAGTTGACATTGAGTGAGGGTACACTACGTATTAGGTCCAACCTAGGTAAGAACTATGCCATCTGTTAACATGTGATGTGGAAGGGTGAATAGTAGGGTGGCCCTATCCCCTAGGGGCACCCTTTTCGTATGTACATGGCATATTGGTTAGGCATTAAAATAAACAGTAAAATCAGTAAAAATTATATTGTTAGTACTATTTTTGTTTTACAGATTCAATGCAAGCTTTCAAACTAGCTTTTTGGAAAAAAAATTATGAATTTAATAACTTTACATTTATTCACAAATTTCATTATTGCCAAATATTATAAAAATGCCCTTTTGGGGTTTAAATACAAAACCTGTTGAAGTCATTCATGTATTTTTATTTATCATGTTTGTACAGAATGTTCTGTTTAATAACAGTAAAAAACTATTAAATGGCTTGAAATACACCCAACTTAGTCACAGTATTTGAATGCATGATAAACAATGAAATATGTACAGCTGTTTGTAAAAATTATGGCGCTTACAATATATTACAGACATATAGGCTTAAATGAAACTGAATTATCATAAGTATTGTATTTTTGGAAAAAATACAAAAACTATTAAATTACCAATCATGAACCCAATGTTTTTAAATTTGTGGCAATAATTTCTGCAAACAGCTGTGTAATGATAATTACTAGAACAAGTTCTGAGTCTAATTAGGTTTGACTTGTAATATTTTAACATTTTAAGAATGCTGATTCAAATGTCTTTACTCCACTTCCCACCAAACTTTGTCACACACAATTAGCTTGTTACTTAGGCACGAAGTTATTTTGTATAAGAGACATACAATAAATTATTGAACACATGTATTCAGGTGATAATCAAAAAAAAATAAATTCAGTTTGTCCAGCATTTCAGAAAAGAGAAGTTCATCAAAATATACTCGTTCACAGTGAAATTCGTCCTTGCAGTAAACAAAGAAATCGCACCACTGACTTCCTGTTAAACCAAGGCATCCCATAACTTGATAATAATACTTGTGTGTCTTCTTCAATGAATATGACCCATTTCGTTCATTAAACTTTAAATACTGAAGGTTATCCAGATGACTTGCTGGAGAGCACTTTATTTCTATCAGGCCCCATGGATGTTGTTCAGTGTCGTCAAACACTCTTCTGTCTGGGCTACAGCCTAGGTGTGGGAGACATGGGTTTATAAGAAAACCTACTAGGTGAGTGTCTCTGCCAAACTGTGTTTTGTACATATCAGCAGCTACCCCCTCATTTTGTATCCCATATTTCATGGCTGCAGTTTGGATTACTTTTCCCTTTAGTAAACGCGTAGAAAGGATTTCATGGTCTTTTCTTCTTGAGCATATATCTTTGAAATTTGAAGCTGTAAGCCTAAACTTCCTTAGTTCATGCCATGCTGTTGTAGTTGACTGTTCCCTTGTCTCCATTTCAAAGTCAATAGACTGTTGACCTGATATTGCAAGGGAGCTGAAGAAAAGGTCTTGTTTTTCATTGAGCACTGTATCTGGATAGCTTAAAGATGGAAAGTTGAATGCAGGTAGCTGTATGTTAATATTGCTCTTAACTTTCAATGGCTGTTGATAGCTTATGACACAGCCTTTTGGCACCTTTCCAAAGGCCGAGTCTACTAAAATTGGAGGCTCACTTTGTTCATCTTCCCATATTCTCATAAATCCAGGTTGATTGTTGAGATTTTCAAACTGTGGCGACAGCACACTAGTCAAGTCAAGGCTACTTAATGATTGCTGGAAGGGTTTGTAGATCGTGCTTGCCACACCACACACCTTTCTCTTCTTTTTAGGTTCATGCAATTTATCTTTTGGCTTTGACTTTTGTATAATCAAATCTGTCACTGGCCTTGCTTTAATGCCCTCTTTACGACTGGGGATATGCCATCTCTGCAAAAAAATAATATACAAATATACTATATGAATTCAAAATTGCTTATTGTGTTATGTTTAAAAACAGCAGTGTGATTAAAAGGAGTTTTTAAGGAAAAATATTGCTAAGATACAGTCAAATCTCTATACATTAATGACTGTTTTTTCTTATTGTTTATCATCAAATCTATTATTATTATTATTAAATTTTACCTGTGCCTTTGATGTTTTAGAAACCATTGGCGGGACACTTTTTAAGCCTAATAGCTGGAAATGGGCAAGAGTATAGAGCAATCCAAGAACATGATGGCAAAGACCTTGTCCAGCAGCACAACTACACATATACTTGTTGATGCTAGCCTCAATAGAGGAGCTCTCGAACACAACAGACAACTTGTGAGGATCTTCGTTCTTTTTCATACTTCTGAAGCATTTAGCCCGAGCCACTACTCCTGAATCCTCTTCCTTGCAAAGTTTTACTGTTAAAAACCGAGAAAAAAGAGTTAAAACTCAAAAGACTGAGCACAGAAACAAAATATTGGAAAGACAGTCAAACAAAGAAAGCTACCACGAGGTCAACGAGGCTCACCTTCAATATCGTGAATATATTCTTCGTGAAAGAATTTATATCCTCTTGTTACAGTGGCTTTGATCGGTAGGTTCTTCTCAGCAAAATCCTCAACAAAAGAGTTTGTAACTTTGGGTATTTTTGTTATATTTTTGTGCCAAAATTCGAGTTCAACGCTATCGCTACTAGTCGCCATTTTGTTTGTGAACTTACCACGCGTGGCCTCGACCTCATGTAAAATATTCAATGACGTAATCCAAGATGGCGGGCCGTGACAAAGGCGAATGGCGGAGGACGGTTTAGCTTCGATTTCGCGCTTCTAGAAACTAAATATTTTGAGAGTTTGCCGAAAGAAATGCATTTCAAGCAGTTTTCAGTCAGGAAAATTAGGTTATTTTATTGCGGTAACTGATATTTAGCTTTGAAAGTCTAATAAGAACTGGCGTTTCCCAGTGCCAAATGGGCTGAGAAGCGACGGACGTCGTTTGATTGGTCTTTGTGAATTTACGTCATGGTTATCCCCGCGGAAGAAGTGCAACGTAGGCATTTTAATTAATGGTTATCCTGGATATATCTTTATTTCTGCGTCAGACCAAACAGAGTGAAAGGAAGTAGACTTAAACACATTTTATTTTGAATGTTAGTATGTAGTGCTATCTAATGAGTTACGAGTAATTCGAAATGTCTTCCCTAGGACAAGGGAAAGGGAAAAATAAACGTAAAGGGAAAGGACGTGGAAATGCTGGAAGAGGACGAGGAAGAGGTCAAGATCCGACACCTACTCCTGGCAGAACTGAACATGTTGGGAAGCCTCCCGAGGAGAGTGGGATCACGACCGAGGAGAAGCCAGATTATTCAAATCCTAAGGATTCAAGTACAGCTGATTTTGATGAGAAACGAGCTGCTGGTGCGTGCGGTAATGATCTGACAAATGGTTATGATGAAGACACAGGAAGACAGGAAAAAAGCTCTGCAACTACTTACGAAGCGACGACAACAGTCGAAGAACACAACCAAAGGGGAAATTCTTCGGGTGAAACACCATCAAAGTCTAAAAAGATTAAAGGAAGACAACGCGATATACCAGCAAGTCCTCCTGACGATAAGGGCGAAGGTAACTTACATTCAGTCAAAAGTTTGCTAATTTTCTAATAATAGTGTTGGGTACATTTAATAAACCCAGGTATTTGCCATGACAGGTCTTTTTTTTCTGTAGAAGTGCATCATAGAATACAATCTCGCATTCTGATTGGTTAAGGAAGCCAGTGTGTGTAATTGCGAGTTGAAAACGAGGCTAAGTGGTATTATTAAAAACTAGATCATTGGATAGTGCAATTCAAGACTTTTTATTGGCTTAGCCATTATGGTATATCAGCCAATATACCATAATCTACAAATATGGTAAGCGTGCGTGTCAGCTTAAAATTATAAGGGAGCTAAAAATTTGATAAAATTTAATAATTTAATTTAACGTTTTTAATAAAACAATTATTCCACTCGTGCTTGTTGGATATGAGATGATTATAGCCAACTCGGCGCTACGCGCCTCGTTGGCTATCTATCATCTCATATCCAACGCGCGCTTGTGGAATAATTGTTAATTATAAATTTTTATATACGAGGCGATTGAAATAACAAGGCAAGATGGTAACTCAATCATTATTTGATCATACCAAACGATTACACGGTATAGCATATAGTCGTGACACTAGCCTGACTCAATCCAAAAGTATTTATAACATAACCAAAGTAAAGCGCGCGCTCTGATTGGTCAATTCAGCGTCCTCCATTTGCCCATCGGTGTACGCTTCTGACGTGAGCAAATGCAAAGACTATTTTTCCGCGCGCGCTTGTTTTTTCTGGTCACGTAAGATTCCGTAAGATTTGTTAAATAAAAGGGAACTCTTTAGCTACAATGTATCAATGTTATGTTATAAAACAAATGGTAAACACCACAGCGTACACTATTGAGTTATGGATGCACTTGGGAGGTTTGCTAAGCACTCAAGAAGCTAGAGTCGCTCTCGGCTATNGATGTATCTTACACCCCATTCACGTCAAAGGTTAAACGAGTTTTAATGCTGTTTTGTTAGACACGTTTTAAATTTTGTTTCATTCTATTTTATTTTTTATAGACGCTGCTTCATTAACCAATGATTGTCGAATTCAAATTTAGAACATCAAAAATAAAAGTTAGTGACTACTTGAATCCTTTAGAAAATTCAGTTCTTCAGTTCTGTTTCTGATTTTCATTAAGTTGGGCCCGGTTTAACTAGACATGTTTTGTTGGCGTAAAAGGATGGTCCCAGAAAGAATAGAAAATCCACGGTCTCCACTCCCTGAACGTACTTGTTGTGCTTATCAATTTGAATTACTTTACGTTAGCAAGAAAAAATCCTCGCCTTGTCTCTATTAGACCTTTATAGATTATGCTAGCATTATTTTGGCATAATTTGAGCAAACTGGCATAATTTCTGCCAAGTAGCAATGCTAGCATAATTCGCATATTTTGATAATATATCGGATCATTCTTGATGTTACAATTTGATCATTGTTCATCTCTACTCCCAAACACTTGGTGACGTTAATCGATGTTTCAAGTTTTAGTTCAAGTAGTAGCATTTGTAGTCCACTGTGAATCACTGAGCGGCGTCTGAAACGGTCTGAGCCCGGGTCTGGGTGCACCGGAACCGGAAATCACATTATAGGCCATGTTGGTCCCAGTACCTTTCATCAGGCAACTCGCAACAACAGATTATGGTCTAGTACTAGAGTGCATGTTAACATGAACCACATGTTTATTTGAATTTCACTGTGGATTTGTTACGTTTCTTTCTTGAAGACCAACGGCTTCTAATCAAAAAAATGTATTTTTTGGACTTATTTGCAATTTTTGCAAATAGCATAATTTTAAAAACAGGGGCATCATTTGGAAAAAAGAGCATACTTTTAGCATAATTTCGCCAAAAAAGAAAGCAATGCTACTAGCATAATATGCTACTTTTACTAGCATAACCTATAAAGGCCTAGTCTCTATCTCCCGAGTAGCGATGAGAAACTTGGTAACCTTGTGGATTTAATAAACCAGTCGAATAAAAAATATATCGAGGGAGGGGTGATTGGATTATTGGAATATAATTTATACTTCAATTATACGCCTTATTCCACCCGATTCGCTTGTAATTAACCGCTTACATGCGGATTTAATTAGCATCAAATTAACGCATACAAGCGGTGAAAGTAGGGCCTATTTACCTATCGTGAGCTTGTGACGTATACCGTCAAAATATTGGTGCCCTTTTCTGACCCCTTTAACTAGCTGTTTTATTTCCCTGCACAACGTGAACGTTTAGGTTGTTGTTTCCCATTACCTGATCCTGACCTTTTTACTCTAAAATGGAAAGGCAATCCAGATTAACTTATTCAGAGGAACAAAAGGAAGTGCTAACAACGTTTTTCAACGAAGAAATGACCTCGACCAAGAAAGCCATGTGCGACAAAATTCGTGCATGTGCCGCGAGAGTCGGCATTTCCGAAAACCAAGTGAAGGTATTTTTCAGCTTACACCTTAAAAGGTTCCTCGGCCTAAAAGTGATTAACATACATTTTATCATGGGCACTAGGATAATTAATTTCCTACACTAAATTTCATGTATGTATGTTGGTAAGACTTTCAAGCTATTTTTTATCTTGGTGTAATTTGTGAACTGTTGACCTTTTCTGTTACGATCTTAGGACATCTTTCGACCTTTTTTTT